CAAATGAGGAATATTCATCAGATATATCTGCATTCATATCACCTACTACATACACAGAGGTAAGATAATGGTCATCAATGAAAGAGTTCAAGAAAGCAAGTCTATTCAAATAAATGTCTTCATTCTGGGGACACTCGTATGGTGTGTAGACATTAATAATAACAAATTCTTTTTTTTTCAACTTTTAAATGTACAGCAATACACCAGTCAACACCAGTTCTGATGACATTAAGAACTGGGTCCAGCTTTTTGTGCCATAGAATGGCTACTCCTCCTGCGATGCGTCCTCTCACTATCCCCATAGAAAGATCCACAGTAGATTCACCAGCTCCACAGAAACAGTCATTAATACAGTTCAAACTTCCCAAATCCTGTTTTGATAAAAAGGTCTCTTGTAAACAAAGGATATCACATTTTTGCAACAGTCTATCCACAACCAGACGTCGTGCTTTATCTCCAGCTGTGTTACCGACACGCAGTCCCCGGCAATTGTAAGAAATAACACGCATTAATTAGTCTATGAAGGATTCACTGCAGCCGTTGCATCCATCCCTTTGGCATCACTGGAAGTGATCACCCCAAGCCCTTTGGACGTTGTAGGTTTATTCCGTGGCTCATAGTAACGGCGCACAACCGAACCCTCTGGCCACAGCTCTGGGTTGTACACTTCTGCAACGTTCTCACACTCCACACTGACTTTAAAAGAACTATATCTGGTGTTCCCAGTGACAATACGCCGGCACTGAACATCGCGTCCAAGTTTTCCTTTAAGATAGTTCATTAGTGTCTCATCATCAAGATCTGGAATAAATCTAGTTGCAAAAACAGTTACAAGCTTCGTTCTGACCACTTTTATGGTGCTTTGAGCACCAGTACCGATAATAGGTGCTGGTCTTTTACGCTCAGGTTTAGCTTGGCGTTTTAATGTAGCTGAATGGCTCTCAGTTTTCAAACGCCGCCCTTGTTTCACCACCAAGTTCCATGTGGGCGAACTGATGGGCGCATCTGCAGCACAGCTTCGGTTACGGTCATCACTCACCGCAGACTCGCCAATAATCCTGGGATCGTCGGTGTAGGTCCCATTCACGGCCAAAGCGGCATTATCAGCAATAACACAGTTTGTTCGAACAGAATCCATGCATGTTACCACCTCCTCGGAGCCGTCCGCAGCCAATGTCAAGTCACTGGCGTTGGGTATTCCTGGAACAGGCGTATTCACACTGCTGGATCCTCCACCTCCAAGGACCAAATGTCGTTCCATTGCCGTGACTCTGCGGTCAATGGTGGTGGTAACCTCACGCAACTTCTCCTCAACGTCCACTTGGCGTGACACTGTATGCTTCAGGGCACAAACCTCGCTCTGTAGACGCTCCATCTTGCTGAGTAAGTTGGAGACATCCAGGCTGTTGAACGTCACATGGAGCAAATTGGAGGCAAAATGAATTCCTTTCTTCTTGGCTGAGAAGAAAGACCCTGATAATGAAAAAACACCCACACATACAAGCACATGGTGACGTAGAACATTCCGTGGGGTGGGGGGGACGACGAGGGTGGTTAGAATGTCCAAGGACGCTCCCAGAGGCACTATAGGAGTTCTGATAAGGATGTAATAATCAGCCAGTTCCCTCCGGTGAGATCCATAAAGTTACAGTTCAGAAGAAACACAGAGAGAGGCTCAGAAGCAGTTTCACAGAGAGGACAGAGCAGCAAAGCAAAGGAGAGAGGGAGAGGAGGGGAAATGCATCCGCCCTCAGCAAGAGCAAGTGGTGAAGTGATTTAAAGGATAAATTCTCATCAATCAGCAAACCTAAATATTTGTAACACCAGACAACTTCAATACTTAAGCTGGAGAGGAAAGGTGGAAGCTACTTACCATTTGAAAATAGCATATCCTTTGATTTTTCTGCCTTCAGAACCAGCTTAAGACCAGCCACACGGGACTGAACAGAATCAAGTGCAGATTGCAGCAGTTTAAATGATTGTGAAACTGAAGAAAAGGAACAATAAACAACCTTATCATCATCATAAAGATGAGATTTAGCAACAGGCAAGTTATCGCACAGATTGTTTATATAAAATGTGAACAACAAAGGACCTAGTAAGGACCTTGAGGCACTCCCTTTAAAACAGGAAGGAGGGACGAACAGGACCCAGCTGCTTGGACACAGCCCCTTATCCACAGGTCCTGGTTGGGTCAGGCCAAATAGGGCCTTATTAGGCTGGTACCGGTAGGGCCGCTTCATTTTCCATATCCACAGCTCCTTATCCACAGGTCCGGTTCCTGTAGGACCCTATTGGGGCTCATTAAGGCCGGTTCCGGTGGGACCAGTTTATTTCTGTCTCCACAGTGCCCATAGTTCCCCTTTAGTGGGCGGATCATTAATGTCAACGCGCCTTACCAGCTGGTGGTGCTAGTGTTACATTAAGCTCTTTACTAACCACCACTAACACTATTAGAAGAAGAAGAGCTGGAAAAACACACACAACCAAAATGGATGATCTTGTTTCTGTTTTGAGTATTCTGCTTTGCCTGTGGCTTTTTCATGTACACACACACACACACACACATATATATATATATATATATGTAGTGAACTAGGCCTGAGGTCAAATCCTGACCTTAAGGACCTTATGGGCCAGAAACTGTCATTTCATTGATTTGAATCCAGAAATACAGGTTGACCCATCCTGAGACTTTCTTTCTTGAATTGATCAATTGAAAGAACACTCTTTTTCTATTATCATTACTATTTTACAAATGTTTGATAATCAAAGTGTGTTTAGTTCAAACCATTTTTAGATGTTGAAGTGAACTAATCACTTTTAATCAACTGTGAAACATTATTAGTGATTTTTAATCCTCATGCAAAGTAGAATTCATGTTAAGGTCTGTTACAGAGTAATTATGCATTTTCTGATTTTCTGTCTTTGAATGAGCAGTGTAAGTTGGTCCAAGGTTGGAGTCAAACGCAAAACAAGTTGTTGGAACGAACTGTCATGTTTTAAATCCTCTCAGACGTAAATATAGAGGCTGGCACCTGTTTTCCCCAACTCGCCTAAATATTCCTCTCGTCTGTCTGAAAAACATTTTCAATCTGTTCCATAACATTCTTGCTGTTTTTCTGACTCCTAGTGACCTCTTACGTCACAAAAACACACCCTGTCTGGTCGATTTTGACCAATCAGGAACCTCCCAAGTGAACCGGAAATAGAACTCTTTAAATGTTGGTACTTCCTAGTTCAAACCAGTCGGGTGGAGAGTTTGCAGAGCTTCAGTCGCTTCAGGCTCCGGCTTCAGTCGTTTGCAGCTCCAGTGCTGGGGAGAACAGAAGTCCAGGCATGATCCCGAGTTCTTCCGAGTCTTGTGGGATTATGACATCTTCCACCTCTGAGTGGAACTTCTGAAGGACTCCACTCATGTGAAGTCCACCAAGAGGTGAACTTGTGTCGAACAAGTACCGTCACTACTTCGGACGATTCACAGCTGTTCCTACGGAGACGCTGAAAGGGTGCGTTAAATGGAACTTTGTACCAGTGGAGACTCCTCCAGGTAAAGAGTTGATTTATACCACCTAAGTGTACCGGGGAAGAAGCTGGGAACTCACCGGAGAGTGCCGTTCTGATGCCGACACACACACATTTCCCTCATCCATCCTTTCTCTCAACTTAAACTTCAATTTCCATCTTTAAACTCTTCTATCTGCTAGAAATCATTCCAGATATTTTAGAAATGTCTGTTGTACAGCTGGAAGCAAGGGAAACAATCGCCGTATTGTTTCCTCCTTGTAAAACTTGCTAAATTAGCCATGTTGTTATTTTCCAATTTTGCCAAATTTATGTAAATGTGTGATGTTAAACTTGATTCTGTAAATAAATGACCACGTTCATTTTGATGGGTCAAAGAAAATTAACGTCTCACGTTACGTTTTTAATAATTCAATGCACGACATTATTCAGTCCAGAAAAATGAAAGAATCCGTTTAATTTATGAATATATCATAGCATATGTTCATCTACATATATATATATATATATATGGCCTCGTTTACTCCTCTTTTATATAGGAAGCCATCTTTGTGAAAAGAAACCGTCCATCATTAAACAGGGGTGGAGCCTCCAGGTTCAACTGTCCCCCTCTTACAATGCTGTGATTGCTAGTATCACTCAGCCCTCTGTGAACAGTAAACAGCCATCAGGTGCTAATGATCCATTGTTAGGCTGATGGTCCTTCTTGAGCATGTGATCAGCTGGTTCTGGTTGTCAGCAGCAAAACTGGTTGATCCACTCTGAGAAGGTGCTATTTAAGAGACTGAGCTGAATACAGCACCTCAGACTGAGGAAGTCCTCAGGATGAGAGACGAAACGTTTCTACAAATTTTTTGTTTTGTTTTTTTGAATGTCCAAAGGACCAGATTTAACTTTCTTAGATGTTTCTACCTGGATTATTGAGCATGCATCAGGATATTTTCAGCTTGTTGTTTTAATATTTACCTTGTGCAGCCGAATGATTCAGTCTGTCATCAGCAGTCTGTTGTTTTAATATTTACCTTGTGCAGCCGAAGGATTCAGTCTTTCTTCAGCAGTCTGTTGTTTTAATATTTACCTTGTGCAGCCAAAGGATTCAGTCTGTCTTCAGCAGTCTGTTGTTTTAATTTTTACCTTGTGCAGCCGAAGGATTCAGATTGTCTTCAGCAGTCTGTTGTTTTAATATTTACCTTGTGCAGCCGAAGGATTCAGTCTGTCTTCAGCAGTCTGTTGTTTTAATATTTACCATGTGCAGCCGAAGGATTCAGTCTGTCTTCATCAGCTGGTTGTTTTAATTTTTACCTTGTGCAGCCGAAGGATTCAGTCTGTCTTCATCAGCTGGTTGTTTTAATATTTACCTTGTGCAGCCGAAGGATTCAGTCTGTCTTCATCAGTCTGTTGTTTTAATATTTACCTTGTGCAGCCGAAGGATTCGTTCTGTCTTCATCAGCTGGATGTTTTGTTTTTACTCTCAGACTCGATGAGCTCCGAGCAGAGACAGAAACTGGCCCGGGAGCGGAGAGAGGAGCGCGCTCGTTACATCGGTGAGTTAAACACCTCTTTCTGACCAGCAGCAGCTCCTCAGCTCCTTTTTCTCCTCCTTTCTCACTTGTTTCTCTTATTGTGTCTTTTCACGGCTCTCAGAACAACAAACTCAGCTCCAAGGTAAGGACGGTTACATCCTCAGCAGGTCCGGTCCCTTTAGGTCCTCCAAGGATCTGGTCCGGTCCATGAGTCATCGTGGTCCATGTTATGTTTGAGGTGGAACCTCTCCTTTCTGTCATCCTCAGATTGATTTAAAACATTTTACCTTCATGCTGCTCAGCTGCAGTCAGACTTTGTGTCTTCACACTGAAACATTTGAGAAGGAGCAGGTCACCTGAGTCCCAGCAGCCAATCAGAGCTGAGCTCAGAGCAGCAGCCAATCAGAGCTG